AGTGTGATGGTGGGCGCCCTGAGCTGCTAGGGGACACCCACGCACAGGTCACTGAACCAGGCCCCCGGCTTTGGTAGGAACTGGAGCTGTGAGTGACCATTACACTGCAATAAGCCCGTGGGTTCATACAAGGACTGACCGCCTAACTCCAGGAGTCAAATTTTCACAGTCAGGAGTCAAATTTTCTTAATTTTGCAGCAACATTCAAYGGGCAAACACAGCCATTGCCTCCCCTGTTTTATCTATTACAGATACCAGCTTTATTTTACCATAAAACAAGCATGTTGCAGGACACTTACTCCCCGAGGTTTCTAACCTTGTTCTCTGTTAGCAGACTGGATGCTGCATGGGGAGGTCAAGGTGCCTTACCGAGATACGCTCTGCGACCACAACTCTGCCAAGGTGCTGTCTATCCACAAAGAGGGATGATGGTTACCATAAGGACTGGGTTGGCTCTCTTCCCTCAAGTACTGGCTTCAGTCCAGCTCTGAATAATGAGAATTGAAGCTAAATGATAAAATGCATCGGGGCAAATGAAGTGAATAAGAACCCGGAAGGCTCTGACRGGATAGAATAAAGGGGATAAAAAAAAMCCCTCCTTTTCCTGGGCTATAGGGGAAGTTTTACAATGGCTTCACCTTAACTCCTGGGTTTGGAAAGGAGAAGATCTTGGCTGACCTGCAAAACAGAAAGTGACAGTTTGGATCTGGCAACAAGTGATAACATCAAAACCCAGCACGGAGCCCATGCGTCATGTTAGCTGGTGGCCTCGCGCCGCCAAGCCACGTGCCTGTGTCCTACCCTTACTCATAAACTACAGAGAAAATCGCTGATTAGACAACAACATTTACTTTGCTTTTGGGTCTATTACACTCCGGGCTCTGTGTAAGTACGGCAACATATCTTGATGAATATTAGCTATGATAAGGAACAGCCCTAGCAAAGGATCGGTTTTGGAGCAAACATGTCCTTGCTACATTAAAATGTTTATTCACAGAAGTTAATCAGATCGGAGCCTAGGCAGACATGCAGCTGGGCTGATAAACYGCCTTAGCCACCTGACCCCCTTCAGTGGGGGTCTTTACATTCACCCAGGGGAAATTCTCTTTCTTTTCCCCAGCATACRGGATGTTGTCCGCACGCAGAGGAAGGGATTCGTTCTGCTGGGCAAAAGCTCTTCCACTGCAATGGACAGAATAAGCAAAGAGGGTTTTAGTGCTCTTTCTGCTCCGCGCTTGCAGCTGGGGCGGGCAAGCAGGGATTTGCCCAGTGTCCTGGACACACAAGTGTGGCAAACCCTGATTGTATATAGGGCACATCCACAGCCCTGATTTACCCATTTTCCTGGCTCTTCTCTCTTTACCTTGTGTTGAGGGAAGCACCAACAAATGAAGATGTATGAGGTCTTTGACAAAGGCTTCTCACACCTAGGTGCTGCTGGAAGGAAAGGGTTGTGGTACGTGCAGAGCAGGGCTGCTTGCTGCTCCTTATATCGCTGCAAGATGCTGTGTAACCAAAGCAGCGCTGACAAGTGCATAAGCTTTCCACTGGGCACCCTCGGGGGGCTTGTCCAAGAACAAGTAGCTTCAGAGAGCTGCCCCAGGAGCAGTTCCTGTGCCTGGAATAACAGGGGAAGCCATAAGATTGCCTAACAGTTATTCAGCCTTGCTCCTGTGCAGTCTAGCCTTGCTGGGGATACGCAGCGRTGAGGTGAAGGACACCAAGTTCTCCCTTATGAGGTGGGGAACAATACCAACCAAGGTAAGGAACAGACCAGCGAAAGGATCCAGAAGCAGGTAGGCTTGTCCTTGCCACATTGCATATCATAATGTTTCCATTACTGCTGGTTTATCTCGCAGCTCCCGTGTAGAGCTTTGGAACTGGTCTAGGGAAAGGTGAGATGTCTTGATAGCCTCCAGGTGTTTGTGGTGAAATATGCATTTTGGCGGAGTTTATTTTCCATTTCCTGTTCCAGGCTTCTCAAAAAGYGGTGGGGGAGTAGCAAACAGATCAGATATAAGGAGAAAGATCTAAATAACTTGGCACCACAAATCCTTCGGTCTTCAGCTCTAGCTGCTTTGTCCTGCTGTATAGTTCAAGAGGCACGTATGTCCTGGGTTTTGATATGTGGCATTTAAGAGTGTCCTTAAGTAAGTAACAGTCCTACATTTAGTCTTACAGCGTGATCTGTGCTTTAAATTCTTCATCTGCTCAGTTGAGTTTCCAGGGATCCTCCACCGCAGAGCTACAGCAGATATTGAGCAAGGGATCTGTGCTTTGGTAGGTTCAGCAAGAGAAAATATTGATGCTTGTATCTGTTTTCATCCTTTTATTTATTTCACTTGTATCTATGAAAAGGAAAATGCTTGGGATCATGGGGACTGATGTGCAAAACCTTCCAGTTTTCAGACCCAGTGGGGGCAATGTGGTTCCATGTGAGATCAATAGCTGCTACATAGGCCTCCACCCTGGATTGTCCGAGAGCAGGGCTTCATATTGCAAATTAATGAGAAAGAGGCACAAAGAGTGCCACTCCCTGGGCAAAAAGACCAAATAGCAACTTGGTTGAGAGACCAAGTGTTAGGGAGAGACCAAGGAGAGACCAAGTGTTAGGAAATGTTAGGGAAATGTTACCTGTGACATTAAGCTTCTTTAATTGTTGCCTCTCTGAAACCTTTCTCAAGAGAAATCAGGGGGTTGTGCTGTTTTCCCCTCAGCTTTCTGTACATCAGTAAACATGTCACGCCACGACCTCTGTCAGCGGAGGCAATGGCCCTTGTAAAGACTATGACAAGCAGGCAGGCACCACTGCTCCGAGTACCAAGTGGCATTTTCTTGGAAAGGCTTCAAACATCCTTTGAACAGCCGACGTTTGGGAGCTGAACATAGATTTCTGGCGTGCTCGTGCAGGTCTCTCTCACTTCTGTTACTTCAAGCAGTTTGCAGCTGCTCCTTGATGGCTACTGAAAGCACAGTAAACATTACTAGCTTACTAGGAAACCTTACTAGCTTACTAGGAAACCTTACTAGCTTTCCTATAACTAGGAACTAACGATATGTACACGGTCAGCTCTGCAGTCTGCCCTCGTTCAGGCTTGATTTGTATGACACAGATTCCTGGGAAGTTCTGCCTCTGTTCCACCACATTTCTGTTCAGGCAGTGCCCCCATCTCTCTCTCAGCATGGGGCTTAGTATAATAATAGCTCAAACATTGTTACTAAAGAAAAAAACACGGGATTTTCTCCATTTTGGGGAGAGAGATTTGCTCAGATGTTTGTTTCACAAAACGCGTGTGCTCCGGCCCATGTGATGTAATGCTGAGATACACCCAAATGTGTTTCTGCACTTGTATTTCAAGTGCTAAATTCCAATTTTGCAGCCAAAAGTTAATGAATCGTGCTTCACTGATCAGCGCTGGAATTTGCTGTCACCTGGCAGTTTCATCTGGTCTTCTCTGTTTTTGGTGGAAAGCCAATCTTGCAAGGCCCCCTTTCCTGAGAAAGGGCTGCTGTTGAAAAACTGTCATGAAATACAGTGTTCGAGCCTGCGCATCACCAGCAAACTGAAAGCTTTTTAGACTAATTTTCTACAAAGGGAAATTTTGAAGACTAAGGATTGATCTGCATTYCTCCTCTGCTTTTTGCGGTATTTGCATTTTGAATGAAGGGATATCGGGTTTATTTCTCCACTGCCTTTGTTTCTCGTGCACAYGAAAAGTCACCTTTTCAGATCTTGTAAACTGGAATTCAGTTTTAAGCTACTTTAAGTAAACAGGTCTTCAAAGATTTTTTTTTTTAATCACGCTCAGATATAAAATTGCTCAGGAAAGCGTTCACCTGCGAGCAGAATCCAGGAGGCTCCCTCAGCCCTTGCTTACACAACAGCCTTGTTTCCACGTGAACAGTCAGAGCTGGGTGATCACTTTGAACAGAGGCAGAAAGCCCCAAGTTCCAGATGTGCAGCTCAGCAAAAAGAACACATTCAGGAACGAAACCCCCTTCACAGTGACCAGAATTGCTTCTGTCAAAGCTCCACAGTATGCAGCAAAAAAAGAAACTCAACATTTTGGACTCTAGGCATGTTTTTTTCCTGGCCCGTAGGTAGCAGTGTTTCCTGAGTGTCAGAAAACTTGCCTTATGTTCCTTACGTTAGGAATTTAGTCTCCTGAACAACTTTTCAGAGGCTGAGAGCAGCTCTAGAGCATTGCACAGGTGCTGGTGACTACAAGTCTGTTGTAACAACAGTTGAACGCCTAGTCCTTTTTCTTCTTTTACTTATTTTGCTGTGCCATAAAGTTATGTCCTGTGTTTATATGCTGATGATATACGGCCTCTAGGTGTTTATATAAAATACTCTCATCTAAAATACTCTCTAAAATACCCTCATCTAAACACTCAGCTTTTATCCCAAATTCGGCCTTGGCCTTTACTGTACCGTGAAACAAAGACCTGAAGCAATTTTGAAAGCTTTCTTTTATTCATATTGCAGGCCCATTATTGCATAAAAATGTTGCTGAAACAGAATTACACATGCAAAGTCACAAAGCCACTGAGAATCACAATTTCCTTTTTTTTTTTCTTTTCCAGCAACAAATCACTTGTCAAAATAAGGGAAGTGTTTGACTCAGTTTTTGAGTTTTAGCTCCTTCTATTTCAACAGACGCCAACACTGTGAGCCAATGAAAGAATGTTTGTGTTCAGAAAGTCATTGATTTTTGATAGATCATTGCACAAAGAAGGAAGGAGCAACTGAATTAAACGTGAGAAACCCCTCAGAACAGATGTCAAGCAKCACTAAGAAAGCTAAGAACAGGAGAAATGTGCTAAGGCTGAAAGGAATCAGCTTCAGAGTGCAAAATGACTTTCGAATAGAAGATGCTTTTGCTTAGATCAAACCTGCAGAGTAACTCACGAGATTTTYCTTTGATTGATATGGAAGAGAAGCAGCATGGTCTGGCAAGAAATACCCAAGCAGGCTGGGATTTGCTCTGCAAGCAGCCTCCACTCGCACGAGGGTGCCAGAGAGCAGCGTGACTTCCAGTTGAGGYGCTGTCGTAAGGGCAGCTTGTGCAGCAGTCACGTGGAGCAAGCAGGGAGGGTCTGAAGGTTTTGGAAATAACACAGGAACCTTTGTCGCAAGTCCAAGACTGTTTGGATGTGGTCAAGAAGGAGCACACAACCCCACGGGGCGACTATCTCATATTTAAATGTAACAGAGGCTCCAGAGACGCACACACCAATCGTGCTGGGCTATCACCGCGTTCATGGCACACGGGCCAGGCCCACTTGGTTGTTGGCTCTGTCAAAAACACTGTAGTACTGGCAGAGGAAGATTTCACCGAGGATCCAGAGCTCTTCAGACTGGGCAGGGAAGAAAGAGCCTTCCAAACCACTCCTGCAATGGCCTTGGCGCACCTGCAAATTCTTCGTGTGAACATTCAGCTTAAATTCCAGYGATTAATCTGAGCTCCTTTATCCGGAAGCACTGCAAGATTACTCTTCACGTGCATTAAAATCTTTAATATCTATCYTTATGAATGCATGAAAATGGCCCAGGGCTTGGCCACCTTGAAACACGTGTGTCCACTACAGGGAAGTCTGAACAGCCACTTGCCAGCCACCTGCTCAGGGCAGTGTGTGTTGGCCAGACAACAGTTGGAGCACTCACCTGGCACAGCCCTTCAATCTGGTGGGCTAATTCCTAAGGGAAGGATTTTGCTGTTAGTCCGGCTGCGGGCTTTCTCTTTGCCCTTCTTCAGCTGCAAAGTGCTCGTGGCTCATGCTAAACGCAAGCTGCCTCTAGAGTCAAGGGTTCTTTTCCTCCRAAGAGCTCATTTTTGGCATTCACCCCCCAGTACATGCACATTGCAATGTGATGGCTTCACGTAACCTCCTGCTAAATAGGCTGAATATCCCCGTTCCACTGAATTTCCCTTTCCTGGTGACAGCCACCGAAATGTCTACCTCTCTTTCCCTGGTTCTTTTCAGTTAGGCTCCCCTCAGTTTGGGCTATTGCTTTTGGAGGTCCTTGGGGAGATCCTGAGGTCCCTTGTTTTGCCTTGAAGGCAAAAATAGTTTGACCATCTCTCTCTTTTGTCCTTCCAGYTTTGTGCTATGAGATGGGAGAGGGAAGCAAGCCGTGCAAACAGTGTGGTGGCTTCTGGTACCAGTCCTCCAAAACAGCACCCAAGGTCGCTTTCTGGGCAGGCACTCACCTGCTGAATGTAAGCCTTGGCAGGTAAGGGGAACTTGATACCATTGATGACAAAGACAATGTCAGGCAAGTGGTTCCTGGCCCTGCAGTTGACCACAAACTGAAAGGGAAAAGGGAATGCGCAGGGGTCAAAAACAGCCACACTTCAAACAACCTTTCCAGAGGATATCATGCAAACAAAGGCAAGGTGCATTTATTACACGAGGTGGCCAATAATTTTTACACAGTGGGGTATTTTCAGGGAATGAATGTGGCAGCTTCCGATCTGAAAGAAGCTTTTTTTTTTTTGGCTCAGACACCTAGGGGAGACTTGGGAATCTGCTCCGTTTAGAGTGGGATCTGTGCAGTGCCCAGCTCAGCCCCTACCCAGCCCTCCTCGGTGCTCTCACCTGGCCACTGGAGTCCTCGCTGACACCGATGTGGTCGTGGATGGCAATGATGGAACCGAGGGGCCCAGTCAGCAGAGAGGTCCCGGTGTCGATCACAGCCTGGCAGCCCCTCGGGCACGCAACGACCCGGCCTTTCATGATAATCCTAGAAAATGAAGTCCCAGGAAACTCTGGTCTTGTTAGAGCTCACTAGCTACCTCARTCCCAAGGGGAATCTTTAGTGATGGTCAGAAGGGGAAATTTCACCTGGCTGCCAAAGGTTTATCTATTGTTCCTCAAGCCCGCTGCAAATGCATCCGTACGAGGTGCTAAGTTCCAGCTGGTGCAGATATTCCTACAGATGGGTTGCTCTGTGGAGGTGAGCACACCACAGCAAGCTCCTCTCGTGGAGAAGTTGGCAACTGCTCTCCCAGCCTCTCACCTCATAAGCCCTCTGCCTACGTTTTGCGCGAGGTGTTTGCAGGGCTTCTCGCATGTCTCTATATCGTGCATTTTTAAGTTAAACTTCCTTTGTTTSCTCTAGATATCTTGCTTATGCCTCTCTGCCCCAAAAGCTTCAAGTTGTACAGAGAAGAGCACAACTTACCTGTCTATAGAGATTTGCCAGTAAGTTTCAGAAGACAGAGGGATCCAGTGGAGTTTCCCGGAGAAGCAGGAATAATCAATGCCTCCAAACGTCACAAAACTCTTGTTTTTCTCACTACAGGAGACGGAGAGGACAGCAGAAAGATCTTGAGTGGTTGGTTTAAGCATTTATCACAATTACATAAAACGCTGGAAAAAGACTACAAGTGGGGAACTCCAGGGTAACTCAGAGCTGCATTTTTTCTCACATGGTCCTAAGATTGCTGTCATCTATTTCAAGAAACGGAATCGATGGTGGTGGAATCAGTGCTGCTCTAAGGTGAAACCAGCTTACGTTTCCCACAATGCTTGAACTCCATAAACCTGATTCGTCCCATGATTCTCCCTGATTCTCACATTTTCCAAGTGTGCCTTTTATGCCACTGGTCATCATGCTCCCCCAAAATGTGCGGCTTGCGACTACACTTRAACATCTCCCATTCTTCACCCAAGGGCTGCCTGCAGTTTGGGAATTCTGACGGACACCTCCCTGGGAACAACTGCTGAGAGATAGGCCACACGAGTATGTGCGTTGTTAGAGGCCAAGGGGATCTTCCAGTCTCAACTTACAAGCTAAGGCAGAAAGAGAAGAGGGCCAGAGAYACCACGTGGTGCTTCATCATGTTGTCAAAGACAGGGGCGGCTGTGGGCGCAGCGATGGTGGGGAAGGCCAGGCCCAGAATACCATCGAAAGGTGCATAGTAGAAGAAGGCGCCAGGCTCACTCTCACTCAGGCCTATGGTCTGGTTGCTCACTTGGATGCTTCCAACCTTGTTAGAGAAACGGAGGAAATGAGTCATACTGCATTCTGGAAAAAAAAAAGGGGGGAGAAAAATAGTATCCTTTCCTACTAAAGGGAGTGGGAAATCCTTGGGAGTATTTCAGAAGTCTGYGACCTTCCCTGTGCCTCACGCGAGCTCAGCACGGGGCTGGGCAGAGCACGAAGCACAAAGCTCYGTGATATCCCACCTCTGCAAGGATCGCTGCTGAGGAGAGGGCAGGGGCACAGACCCTGCCTAGAGCAAGTGGCTGGGGGCCCTGCTTGCCACGGGGCTACACTTGAGGGCAGAGGAAGGCTGGAGACTCTTTTCGTTCTGCTCGGCAGCAGAGGGCACCAAACAACACAGAGAATCTCTGCCTGTTCTCCARAAGCAGATTAAAGTTAACGGAATGRGTGYGTTGGGACACTTYGGGTGCASGTTAGTCTATTACTGATGGGTTACGGTCGATGTTGAGCAAAATCCCGAGAGGCTTTACGCTTATGTTCAACTTGCAGTGCAAGAAAATAGGAGGTTTTAATGCCTGTTGTTTTAATTTCAGTTGAATAATGCTCGATTTGACTCCCTCCACATAAAAGGGGGTATTGTCAGGTGGRCAGATAGGAAGTAACTGTGATGATTGCAGTTGGAGACGTAGCACAGCTCCGGAGAAGAACCAGGCTTTGTTGATTCCTCCATCCATGGAAAAATTTTCCCAGATCTGAGCTGCCTTTACACTCCCTCCTCCTTTCCAGCTTCCACTCCAGGTAGCAGGACCTCATCATTTGACTCACGTGCACGGTTTCATTGGCCAGGAATCCACTCATGCTGCCAGTGCCATAGGAGATAGAGACAGGCTGGTGGAGGGCTCTGTAGGTGGAAGACTTCCGGGGATTGAAGCGGTTGTGGGTGACTACAAACRCAGAAGATACGCATGGTCAGAACCTGGACACTCCATGGAGACAAAGGTCAAGGCTTGGGGGCTGCTGCAGCTGGCAGGACTGCTGTATTTATGGAATATTTTATGCTTTGCTATGGCCCAAGACTGGCAGCAATTCCCAAGTGAACACATGGTGTCTATGTGTGTCTGAGATGAACTGGAGGTAGCTCCTTTAGAATTCTTGTAGCTCACCAGGTGATGCACATAGGGGGACAGAGACCTCCACAAGCTGATTAGAATCTAGGATGGGCCTCATTCCTCTCTCTGGGCAATGGACACAGGTGCCAGAGGGAAGGAGCTCTTCTACTCCCYCTGAACATGGCACGGAGAGCCCGTTTCCACTCCAGACCGCCAGGACCCAGTGCTGTGTGTGGTGGCCACACCAAACCGTCCATCCCGCAGCATTCGGGCAGAGCCAGGCCTCAGGCTGTATCCAAAATGGGAACAGATGCTCTGGTGTCCTGCCTCCTCCTCACTGCACTSTTTAGGCCCTGTCTCAGGGGCCTCTCTGCCACCAACACCATGAACTGCCCTCCCAGACACCGGGAAAGCAGCGTGGCCAGAGCAGTTTCCTCTCCAGAAACAGCTCCGGGCACAGCCGGTGGCAACCTCCTCGCCAGCAGCGTGTGAAGACCGGCACTTACGGCAGGCCTTGCTGGCACATGTCACCGAGGGCACCCACAGGTAGGAGGAGCCGGTGTCGAAGAGCACGAGGAACTCCTGAGGTGGGGAGCCGATGGAGATGGAGCCGAAAAACTCAATCTGTCAACGGGAAACGGGAAGGTTTCAAAGGAGCAGCCACGTGGAGGGAGATGGAAAGGCCTCTGCAGAGGAGCTTCTCCCATCACTTTTCATGAGCTGCACACCCGGAGCTTGGGTTCTGCCCACGGGACAAGCAGCAGGTAGAAAGGGATTTGGGAGAAGCAGACTGTAGCCTCCACAAAGCAGCAAGGGAGAAATGGAAGCAGAAGATGTGCCAGGTGGAAGCACGGAGAGAACTGTGTTGTTTCCCCGTGTTTCACAACACAGGGGTTTCACAATCAGTTGTCTGGGAGGAAACATTCACGATAAAAAATGAGATAAGAAGTTTTAGTTTTAAGGAGAAAAATAACTAAAGCATCCTCTCTTTGTTTTTAGAGACTGCTGTTGGGACCCCTGTTTTTTCCCTGAAGTAGGCAGGGAAATTCCCTTCCTTCACACTTACATCCATGTACTTTTTCAGGGGGTCCGTGATGATCTTGACAGGAGGTTTGAGGTGCTTGGAGCCCACATTTGAAGGGGATTTTTTGGGGAATTCCTCCAGCAACTCCAGTTCCTCCAGACTGGTCCTCAGCGACTTTGATCTCTTCAGCTGGACCCTAAGCAGCAAGAGGTGTGACACAGATAAATGAACAGCAAACGARGAAGCTGGGCTCGGGTTTAACGAAGCCCATGTACACCCCCACGCTGATATCACTGTAAGGTCCTTTACCATAGACCTCACCGGATACGTGGATTTAGGTGCTCCAATTCTGCTCGGAAGCGAGTGGATTTGAAACACCTATCGCCTTGTATCCTTCTGAAATTCTACCTCCAAAAGTGTCTATTATGATGAAGCACCCAGCACGCTGTACATTGGCCACAGGCACATCCCAAGACTTTTGTGCAGAGTCCCATCCATGGAGAAGGAAGGGACGGCGAGAGCCAGCTCAGGGTCTTGTCCATGTTCACAGGAGGGCCAATGTCACCTCACTGTAAAAAAGGTGTCTTAGGCACCTGCAAAAGCTCAGCACACATAACAAACTCGTTCTGGGCATGGTTTGCTGGCCTATTTGAGACAGGTATTGAAGAATATTTGTGCCTCTCTGCGGAAAAAATAGGGCCTGCAAGTCTGACTGGTAAGTGTTAATCCAGCACTTGAATTGCTAGACCCTTTCCCAGTTACTTGTACTGCTGTGGAAAAAAAATAGCAGGGAATTTTCTTTCCTGACCTGCTATAATGTGGAAGAGAAAGGAAGAAACCAAGCAGTGTCCATAGCCTCGGAGCATCCCGCTCCCTGTGGCCACAAGGCAGCGGTCCCACCTGCAGCAACGAGCTCCCCAAAACTCACCTCACCAGGCACTGCGAGAGCCCCACCAGCAAGCTCAGGAGCAGGGGCAGCTGCATCATGTGTCTTTATGCCCAAGAAAAGACAGGAAAAAGGAACGGTGCCTATAGAGCAACGCCTTATTGCTGCTGTTTGCTCACACGTAAGGTTTCTGTAGCTCCATAGCAACCCTGATAAGGAATGCAGGCTTTTCCACCAAATATCCTAAAGGAAGTATTTGGGGGGGRAAAAAGAAAAAACAAAAATCCTTTCTCCCTTTGGCAGGGTATTTTCCAACGGAGAGAGTGTTATGGGGCAGGACTTGCTTAAAACTTGCTTAACTTGCTTAAAACRAAGCACTTGAAGTGATTTTAATTAACAGTGGAGAAGAGGAAATAGAGTCACTGGTTACCATTAGGCTTGCGTAGTATCTGGGAATACTCACCCCTGGCTCACCCTGGAGAAAGGAGGAAGCAAGGACACAGCTAAGGAACCTGCTCACTCGACGGGGCCACTTCTGCTGAGAAAGCGGGATAGAAAACGTCCCGTTCTTCTGGCCACACAGCAAGTGACACTTCCTAGATCCTCGGGATGAAGAGCAAGCCCTGTGTGGGAGCAGATGGGCCTGCAATAAAAAGGAAAGGGCTTTGGAGACTATCTCCAAATTATATAATACAGACCGATGGCCGCTTGCCTAGAAGTCTAAACAAGGTCTGTAAGAGACCAGACAACAAYGTTTACTTTGCATTTAACTTCAGCATGTGGGATAAACAGGACTGCACGGGAATTGTCAGGCTTTGTGTGTCCTGGGACAACAATGAGCAAGATCAGGGAGAACCTCGTCAAACAGATGTGGTGCCCTGGCCTAGCGTTTAGGACAATTTATCTGCTCCCAGATTTTGATGTGTTTAAGCTTAACGGGCTGAGTCTGCGGTGCGGGGAGGGAAACCCTTACTGAGATGCATCAACACCTCCTCTTAGTCATTACAGATGAAAGAAATTCATTTTCCAATCCTTGTTCCATGTCTTTCCTGTCTCTTCCTTAAAGACAACTTTCYTAAATGTCTCCTTCATAAAAGGCAGACTTTGGGGTCGACAGTTCTGACGTCCCACAGAGATACTCCTTAGCATGTGGGAGCAGCACTGATTAACCCCCACTATGTCCAAACCCATTCCACGCACTCCTTCACTGCGAAGAGCAAATTCGCACGCAAGTTCGTAGGCCCTTCTGCTCAATCCTTCAGTGWAAATCGTGAAGGAGAAGCGTCCCAGCCTCCCGGTCCGGTCCATTCCGCGTCTCCGTGCCTCACAGGGGCACTCGGGGGGCATTTCGCTTTGGTTTTTTTGTTCCACCTGAAATACTGTTGTTTCTGACACGTTGCAGGAGTTTTTGAGGCCAACACTGGTATTTGAGGCCACAGCTAAGCAGCCTGTATTTATGAYAGCACTTCCACGAGGCTTTTCCCTCTCTATCCGTGTCTGCTATGCCTTTATTCCGTGCTACCTCTCCGTGCTCATCCCTTTAGCTGCCAAGGAGGTTTTATTTTCATTTCCCCTCCTCCTAGGCCTGGGCTTCCTAGGAACAGCGGGAACGAAGGTTCCCTGCAACGGCAATCACTTGGAAGCACTGGACTGGGAAGACCTGCAGAGAGCAATGCCGCTTCAGAGCGGATCTCCTTGCTCCCAGGCCTCCTTCCTAGGCGGCAAGGGGAACAGGAGGCTTTGGGAGAGGGAAAGCGGCCCGGGCGAAGCTTGGCGCCGCCATGAGCGGCGCGGCCCGCGCACACAAAATGGCGGCGGCTCCCGCCTCCCCCCTCCCCCCCGCCCCAGGGTGGGACGTACCATCCCCGTCCCCCCGCGGGGGGGGGGGAGCCGCCACCGCCCGCCCTCCCCCCTCCGCCGGCGCGCCGTGGGGCCGCCCACTTCCGCTGCCGGCCCGGAAGGCGGAAGCGGGCGGCGGCGGGAGGGGCGCGCGGGGGTGAGTCCCACCGGCGGGGCGGGGGCTGCCGGTTCCGTTCCCCCCCCCCCGCTCCCTCCCCCGCCCTTCCCGCTCCGAGTCTCGCGAGAAGCAGGCGGGGGTCGCGCGCGCGCCACACCCTCCCCCCTCCGCGCGGCCCGCGCGCGGCAGCCGCCCCCACCCGCAACGGCCGCAACGGTCGTAACGGCCGTAACGGCCGCAGCGTCGCCGCGCCGGCCTCGGAGAGCGTCCCCCCCGGCCCGCCGCTCGCGGGGCCCCGGCGGGACGGCGGCGCCGGGGACATGTCGCACGCGCACGGGAGCTAGCAGCGCCGGCGGCCGCTGCCCGCTCGGTACGTGGCCCTCGCCTCGGCTCCTCCGCCCCGCCGCCGGCGTTCTCGCGTGTTTTAGTTGTACTGAGCTGTATCACACGCCACAGCTTCGTTACGCGCCGTGATGCGAGCGTCTGACGCGCGGTGAATGTCGCGAAGCAGAAGGCGTTGGGAGTAACACCGTGCACTTGACGAGTGCACGGTGCGGTGG